AATTATGGCAAATTTATTTTCATATATCTGCTCAACATTATTATATTAGATACACGCATAATAGGATCCATATGATTTAATCTTCATTACTTTTAAACATTAGATCGTTACTTTAAATAATGTGGTATAAATTATTTGTCCGAGATACACAATATAAATTATGACTCTACACATAATATCAGATACACAGTAACGATACAACCACTAAAACAACAAACATGACTAACCTCTTTTTGTCGGATCTTGCAACCTTGTATTGGAATCGATTATTACCCATGAATCTTAGGAATAAAAAGTGGTATAGGAAGTAATATTGAAAACTAATGGGATTCCTAGTAATTGGGATGTAAAGTAGTGGGATATATGTAGTTTACCCATAAAAAAAAGGTGTCAAATGACACAATCATACCCTACTATAAGTGTTTAGGTAGTCTTAATTGAAGTGTGTAAGTGGAATATGGTGTCAATTTAGATATTTCTTGATAAGTTTAGCCTTTTAGAAATCACGAGTTTTTATTTAATCTAGGCCAATCTTTATCAATAATTATCTCCATTTTATCATATTTTTAAATTATGAATTTGAATCAAGTTATTGAAAAATTATAGGAAAAAATGCACTTTTTGGACAAACAAAGCAAATTAATTACTCGCTCATAGCCTATTCTTAATTGGGCAAACCACATAAATCCCACTAGTTTAGGTCTTAATTATTAAGATTCTCAATAGTTTCAAATATTACTTCCTGTACCATATTCTATGCTTAGGATACATGAGTCTGAATCCATGAGATACATGCAATATCTGCCGAATTTTAAAATTGAGATACAAAATTTATTTATTTAAATTAATTGGTTGGAACTGATTTCCTTAATTAGAGGAGTAATTGAGGATTTTCAAAATACATAGATAATTAATTTCATTTTATTATTCTTTGAAATAGTAAATTCATTAATATTATTAATATAAGATAAAAACATGTATATCTTGGTAATGCAATTTGATTAATTTCAAATTATTACTCTTAAAATAATAAATTCATTAATTTGATGTATCTATATCAATATATGATGTATCCAACAAACTAAACACTTAGATACATGAGTGTCCTGCAAGTACATTCATATGTATCATACAAGTATCTAACATTAATTTCATGTATTTGTTATAGGTATCTAGTATTAATTTTATGTATCTATTTATATATATATATATAATATTAATTTCATGTATCTTTTAGATGTATCTAGTACTAATTTGATGTATCAAGTATCAATTGCATATGTTATATTCAAAAACATGTATCTCGAATACATAGTAAGCATATACATCTAATTATATGTATCTAAATATGGAATATACAAAAAGAAGAAGCATATACATCTAATTATGTGTATTTAAATTTCATACGTTATATCCAAAAACATGTATCTCAAATACATAATAAGCATATACATTTAATTATGTGTATTTAAATATGAAATGTAGTTGAATCACATGAATTTAGGAACAAATCACGACTGTAGAGTATATGTCGTATCATTAATATCATCGTGTTGTTAAAAATCATGTATTTAAAATTTAATGGTGGATACATATATATGGTCAGACATCCCATTACTAAAAATACAACTCAGATCTTAATTAAGATTACTACTTATTGGATACACATGTTTCAAGGGCTATATCAAAGTAATATTGGTACTACCAAATCCATGTCACGGTAACCAAAGAAAGCCTTAGAAGAACACCAGCAAACAAAAACTCTCTACAATACTCCCTTTGATCCTTTTGCGTTGTGGCATAACATAATCAAAACTAAGATCCATTTCTTCCGGAGACAAACAATCAAGACCCACTCTGAATTAAAGTTTTCTCTGTAGCAGTTACTTTGATTTGATCTAGTTATAAATGAACAATACAAAATAATATTTGGGTTCAGGAGAATTTGTCGGCCATGGTGATGATATCTTGAGAAGAAGAGAGTAGATTAACTATTGTTGGAATGAAATTGTACAATGAAATTCCTGAATCATAAAGGAGGAGACATAATTGAGTGATAAATATGGGAGGGAGAATTAAGAGATAGTGGTTGATTTGGAGTAAAAGAGTTAAGTAAGCAGATAATTAATTAATCCTAGTTTTAAGGTATGTGGGTATCTAATAATCTAATTGTATATTCAAATAATATATTAATATATGGTATAAAATATTAAAAGTGATAATATATGTAATTGTTTGAAAGTAAAGATAATATTAGTATATATAGTAGTGATGTATGTCTAATAAGGTAGTTTATCCTTCTTAATTAACTCGCTTTATGTCCTGTTAGCCCAAGTAGTTACTGTAGAAATGGATTAGAGAAATCAAGAATTGTAGTGATGTTTAAAATTGTTAAGTACATACTCTTTATATAGGGAGAGAATTGTAGAGTCTTAAGTTAACTATACTTAGAGTCCTATTACAATACCTATTACTACTATAATAATAAAATAATTATAAATAATCTAATCTTAGTTGGAATATAATCCTAGTCGTAATCTAATCCTAGTCGTAATATAATTTTAATTAATATAAGTAGTCTAATTCTAGTGCGACTCTAATTCTACAGCAGTGCTGTAAACTTGTAGTCAGCTTCGTTGGACATGTCCAATCATCAACTTCCTTCATCTTCAGCACTTGCTATAGACTCGTTAGTCAGCTTCGTTGGACCTATTCCTTTGACATGTTCCAATCATCAGCTTCCTTCATCTTCAACCGTTACACGACGTACCCCCTTCCTAACCTAGGCCCAATTTGCCTTTACTTTATTTGGTACACACAAATACATATTAAGGATTGAGGATTGACTTGGTGAAAGGGTGGTTGTTCCTCAATTATACAATTTTAGTATCATGATAATATATGAATATACCGTGGTAGTATCATTCACGTATGATCGAATGACTTAGGAAAACCTTTATGATATCATCACGTAATATTTATACTATGATAGTATCATTTAGTATTTGTGCAATTTCGTGTTATGCAATATATTGTTATGTTATCATTGAAGATTTTAGAAGCGCCTCATTAATGATTGATGATTGACTTGGTGAAACAATGGTTATTCCTTAATTAAATCATTTCAGTATCAATATTGTGGTGGTATCATTCATGTACCATCGACTGACTTAGAAAAATCTTTATGATATATATATATATATGGTTGATATCATTTGCGCAATTTTTTCAAATATATGGTTGTTCTTCAATGATATCATAACAGTATGTTACCGTATCATTAAGGATTTAGAAGTTCCACATTAAAGATTGAGAATTGGTTTTGTGAAATAATAGTTGTTACTCAATTACACTATTTTAATATCATGATAATATATGAATATAATATGGTAATATCACCATGTATCATTGAATAACTTAGAATATTATAATGATATCATTTAATATGAATATACCATCTTTATGTGTTGAGTTCCGATGAAATCGAAATTCTAGATCTCCTTCCCATTTTACGATTGTTGAGTTGATTCTAATGGAGGGTGACCTCTCCTCCATTCACTATGGTCGATGGATGATAATAGAGAATCTAGAAGCTTTAACTATGAGTCTCTACAGTTTCAAGTATATTTTAGTAACCTTCTTAGACCTAATTTTCAATGATTGATAGTTATCACTATTATCAATAAGAGAGTATTTGTATGAATTTTTTTTGCTACAAGGGGATCGACATGAACTGAATTTTCTCAAAATTATATATATATATAACTTTATTTATTACGTTAAAATACTGAATTTAAATGAAATCGACCTAAAATCTGACCTAGATCAATCAATACCATCCAACTATCTCCATCCTATCAGTATTAATATATTTCCTCTAACAGATCTCAAAGGGCCTTCTGAAAGCTCAGTGCCTCCAAAACTCCAATAATCATCATGGTCATTTGATATTCTTCTTCTTTTCTGTTTTTGATTATTTTGCTTTTATCATTATCAAAAAACAGTAATGCACCTATTATTTATTTTTTAACGGTTCATGCATTTTTAATAATTAAAATACTTACTGAAATATTTGTTTTGGTCATGAAAATCATTCTCTTTTTTGTTGGAATTATTTTTTCATTTTAATTAAAAATCAGAATTTGGTCAAATTATATTTGGAATTTAGAAAATATCAAAAAAATTGTTTTCATTTTTATTATGTATATTTATATATTTCAATTTACCCTTTTTTATTTTTATAAAAATGATCCTATTTAAATTATATTTCTTGTTTTTTTAAGGAAAAAGTACATCCAAATAACTATTTTTTTATGACTTATGATATCTGGCTATTTATTTTGAGATGTTACTGTTTTAGAACAAATTTGATGGTATGTTTTAGAAAAATTAGTTAGGTTGAGTAACTTTACTAATTCTTTGAAATTGGAGGGAGAGGGTGGGGAATATTAATCACATTTAGAAAAAGTAAATTCAATTTCTAAATATATTTTTTGCAACCACAACTCTAAACTTTAACTTTAAAATTTTCAAATAAATTCAATAGTATTTATTTGAATTTGAATTTTAGGAGTTGAGTTTTATTTGTTAGGGTTTTTTATATTTATTTTTATGTCTAATTTCTTATTCTATATATAATAATCTAAGTCACATTAGCCTTTCCCTTAATAGAAGTATAGCCTATAAGACTCTAGTACCACACGAAACTACCAGTCTCTAACTAATTAATATATATAGTGGTACTTTTTGTTACTTTCTTTCTTTGTGGCATCCCACATATTGTACCTATTTCTGGGCCATACCAGTAATCTCTCTTTTTCTATGCAGGTGGCTTGCTCTTCTCTATGCATAGTAAAAATTGCCCCCACCATAACTACATAAAATGACATTCCAACATTATTTTTGGTTATATAATTATTTTTTTAATTAACCATATCTTCATTTTTTCTTGACATATATAAGTTACGTTGCTCAATCTCTCCACACTTAAAAAATTAAATTATATTTGTATGCCAGAGGAAATGAGTATTTCTGTAAATGGACAATCTCAAGTCCCACCAGGGTTTAGATTTCATCCAACAGAAGAGGAGCTATTACAATATTACTTGAAGAAGAAAGTTGCAAATGAGAAGATTGATTTGGATGTAATCCAAGAAGTTGATCTCAATAAGCTTGAGCCTTGGGATATTCAAGGTTTGTACTTTTTTCCCCCCACATATTTACACATTAAGGTAATAATATATATAATATAGTTTTGTTTTTGTGTAACTAATAATTTACAGACAAGTGTAAAATTGGATCAACTCCACAAAATGATTGGTATTTCTTTAGTCACAAGGACAAAAAGTATCCAACGGGTACAAGGACAAATAGAGCAACAGCTGCTGGATTTTGGAAAGCTACGGGGCGTGACAAAGTCATATATTCAAATTCTCGTAGGATTGGTATGAGGAAGACATTGGTTTTCTACAAAGGTAGAGCACCTCATGGCCAAAAATCTGATTGGATCATGCATGAGTATAGATTCGATGATCATATTACTACTATTGCCTCCACACAAGAAGAAGGTTGGGTTATTTGTCGTATATTCAAGAAGAAAAATCATGTCAAATCATTCGAGACAACAAGTCAGTCAATTTCAAATACCAAACTTTATCCTAATGATGAAGGACCCTTAGAACAACTACTCCATTACATGAGATCAAGCACATGCAAGGAAGAAAACCATGTCATGATGAATAATTATCATGACACTAATTTACATGACAAATTCATGCAACTTCCAAACCTAGATACCCCAAGTGGACATTCAAATTCATGTGAAGGGGGATTGAATAATTGGATTGCCGTTGATCGTCTTGTAGCTTCACATCTTAATGGTCAAACAATTAATGATTATGACCACCAATACAATACTAATATTTTGGGAGCTGCCACTTCTAATCATGATTATCAACAAGATCAATGTGATCTTTGGAGTTTTGCAACAGTTTCATCAACCAATGACTCGTTATGCCACGTGTCTAATGGAATGATTTGAGGATGACAACAATATATACTTAATAATCATGTCCTGTGTATTAAAGTCAAAAGGTTTAATCATGAAATTATATGTGTTATTTTTTTTAATCTAATTAATCATGTATCTAGTAACAATCTTTTACACAACTAAAGTTTGGTCTATCAAAAGCTGATTGGAGTGCCTTTTATCATCATGTTATAAGCCACTTTCCATGTTTGTTTAGACAAAAGATTTGATTTTTTTTTCTAGAAAAACAAGTTTTATAAGTGACATTCTATGTTTATTATATCTTTAATTCTCACCCACCAAACAATCCCAACTCCTTGCCGTGACCATATATCCCACTCCTACAACCCCTATAGTGTGTTGCAAGGTTACATACAAATGCTTTTGAGATGATATATTTTTGGTTACGTACCAAACACACCCATGTGTTTAAATTGAAGAGATAATATTTGAAACTAGTTAATATCAAGGCATATAAGTTGCTGTGGTGTAGTGGTTATCACGTTAGTCTTACACACTAAAGGTCCCCAGTTCGATCCTGGGCAGTAACATTTTTTTAAAACATTTATGAAATATGTCTTGCTGTTTTCATTTTTGTTATATAATATATATATATATTGATTATCATTTTTCTTACGAATTTTCCATTTGGTGATGATAAGGGGATCAGGGAGATTTTGATTATAGCAATAGCTCTAAAAAAATAACAATGTTATGAAAACGTCAACGAGATGATTTTAAAAACACCCATGTGCTTGTTTGGATCATAAATTGAACATTACATACTTGTCTTGGATAACTATATTAATTAATAGGTGATTTACGTATGCTTGTGTTTGCGTTTGGAACTAAGCAATTCCCGTTTCTTTTTTACTATCCTCCTTCGTTGGATTAGTACTGGGATGCATATATCAAAAGCTCAGTGTGAAGTTTGAATGAGATATATCTTTCTTTTTTCAAATTCAAAATGTTCATAATTGAGGTTACACAAAATTGAAATCAGAAAAGGAAAAAATGGAATCTGGAAAAGTATTCTCTAAGGTTATGTAAACAACCCCATCCCTTTTCCGGGGCAAAATAGGGTGGACCAGGGCAGAATTGGGCTTTTCCGGCCCACTCTCCAGCCTTAGTTTGGATCATAAAGGATTGGAGCCCAACTTTTTTTATCCACCCCACCCCTCTTTCTGTAGAGTTGTGAAATTAAATGTATTGAAAGTGATCAAATGAAAATAAAATGTTATTGCTATAAATGATAAATATTTTTTCTAATGTTGTATATTTATGTAAGTTTTCCTTTGTTAATAACAAGGAATTCTATAATAACATGAGCATGACACTTCATTGACAGATAACAAGAATCTCAAATAGTGTAATATGCCTTGCCAATATGAAAATTTTAAATTAAAAAAACAGTTTGGACTTTGACCAATCTTCAATAGTACAGTTGTACTTTTGACTTTATAAAATTCCAATACCCCTCACAAAACTAGACGTGGATTTGCGTGCTTGTATTTTATATTTATCGGAGGAATAGTTAAACCTTTTTATAACCATCTTATACTAAGTAGATGTTTGATCATGCGATATCATATCACGATATGGTATTGTGAGTTGGAATCAGCGTTTGAACATACGATTTTACGCTGATTTCATCTCATGATTCCATATCATGAGAGGTGATACCATATTCTTCAAAAACCATGATATGGAATTACATGGTGATTTCATATCATGATTTGAGATATTTTAATACAATAATTGATCCATTAGTTTATATTTTGGTAAAACAACCCACATTTATATCTACTAACCATTTGTTTCATATGTAAATAAAATTTATAATCACATCATTACTTTTTAAAATTTATTATTCTCACCGACATAAAGTTTATTATTCTCACCAACATATAGTCACTTTAACTCACACCTCACGATTGTGAAACTTTTCAACTTTCACTTGAAACAATTAACCGGCATGTTAAAATAGTTGCCAAGCCAATTAGTAAGATAGCACAAACATTTATACAACCAAAAAATATGACTGGTGTACATTCCAAAATTCGACATAATACTCGATTTTGGCCTTGGTTTAAGGTAAAATTTCAATCACATTAATAAATTTATTTTATGGCCTTAATAGGTGCACATTTATATTTTATGTGTAAGTTATTAGTATTTAGTTATATATTTTTGCCACATGGTAACTTTAAATTACATCCTTAGAATAAATATTATTTATCTACACAAAACTGTCTCATTTACGTCACATATGCTTTTAGTAATTCTTTATAAAATGTTTTTTGGTAGATAAATATTATGTTGTTGATGCTGGTTTCCGAAACACAAAAGGATTTTTAGTTCCATACAAAGGACTACGCTATCATTTGCAAGATTATCGAGGAAGTGAAAGAGAGCCTCAAAATGCCAAAGAACTATTTAATTATAGGCATTCATATCTGCGCAATGTGATTGAACGGACTTTTGGAGCTTGGAAAAATAGATTTAGTAGGCGTTTGGCCATGCGATACCATATCACGATATGATATTGTGAGATGGAATCAGCGTTTGGACATGCGATTTTACGCTGATTCCATCTCATGATTCCATATCATGAGAGGTGATACCATATTCTCCAAAAACCATGATATGGAATTATATGGTGATTCCATATCATGATTTGGGATCTTTTAATACAATAATTGATCTATGAGTTTATATTTTGTTAAAACAACCCCACATTTATATCTACTAACCATTTGTTTCATATTTAAATAAAATTTATAATCACATCATTACTTTTAAAAATTTATTATTCTCACCGACATAAAATTTATTATTCTCACCAACATATAGTCACTTTAACTCACACCTCACGATTGTGAAACTTTTCAACATTCGCTTGAAACAATCAACCGACATGTTAAAATAGTTGCCGAGGCAATTAGCAAGATGGCAATATAACGCACTCCCTCTATTTCTATTTATATATCACCATTTTTTATTTCACCTGTCTTAAGAAATTAAACAAGTTTACTATTCTATTCTTATTAATTTTTTTTTGAAATCAACTTTTCAATCAATGAATATAAATTAATTAATTTGATTAATTAATTTGATCAATAAACATGAATTATTCACTTAATTTTTCTATGTTGGTCAAATATATATTTTTGAGGCTAATAACTCACAAGGAAAAATAGAAAAAATATTATAATTTATGCATTGATTTTATGACATATAAAAAGAAACAGAGATTATATAATATTAAAGTCCATTTTAAAGTCTCTTCCACCCTACCTAAAGGTGGGAGGGAGGTTTGATGTTCATAGTTTGTACTAATTTGTTAGTGTTATAGTAATGTAATTTTCTGTTTATTATTTTAAAAAAAAACTTAATTGTCATAGTAATATGTTATTACATGTTATAAAGAATGACAATAATTGTTATAGTAACATGTTATTACCTGTTATAAAGAATGACAATTAGAAATAGGTTTGATTATATAATATTTCTTTCAAGTGATATTATTGACGGAAGTCTTGAACACAAGAATTAAAAAGAAAAAAGTCTGTCAAAACTTATGACTTAAAATATATCAAAAAAAAAAATTAGTTATAAAATTAAATATAATAATTACTAGTAATATGATAGTTCAATGTCAAATTATTTTCTTATATATAAAACTGTCATTCTCTTTTGAACGGGTCAAAATAATAAAATTATTACATAAAAATGAAGTAAAAAGAATAATTAGATTCTCGTACTATCCATAACAATTGTCAAGTTAAAATATTCAACTACTACATATAATAAAAACGATTGAAGATATTTTAGATGTGTGCATCAAACCTCTTTTATACTCACAACATGCGTAAATTAAATTTGTGAGGAAATTGCCATTCTTGTACGTCATCAACAGAACTCTTCATTAAGAAAATAAAATGAAACATATCTGAATCAGAATTCAGAAAAAAAGAAAGATGTAACAGAATTAAATAAAGGATATAAATAAAAGTAACAAATAAAATAAGTAAATAAATGCTTTGGTGAATGGTGGCATCACGTGACACCATGAGAGGTAATCAAGATTTATTATTTTTATTTTATGGTTGGAGGAGTGGGAGAAAAGGAAATGGAAGAAAGCTAATAGAAAGGAGGAAACTAAAAAGAAGAGTGAAAGCTGCATCCACTAGGATAAATTTGAGACCATTTGGCATTGCTTGCTAAAAAAATATTTATTTTTAGAAGTATCTTTTCAAAATAGTTTTTGAAAAAAAGTTGATTTGTATTTAACTAATTCATTGAAAAATATTTTTGATAAATAAATTATGTTTGACCAATTTTTTGAATGTTATAATCTTAAACATATAATATAAAATGTTAATGTTGAAATTAAAAAATTGCTAACTATAAAGAGTGCTATTTTTAAAACATCTCAGAAAAATAATATGCCAGAGCATATATCACTATATAAAAAATGTTCTTTAACAATAATTAATTAACGTCAATAGCTTAATTATTGCTAAATATGTTTTTTAAGGACATTTAACACTTTTTGTAAATGTCCCTAAAACTTATAGTGACATTGGATCCAATGACAATTAGCTAATATTGATTAAAGTTTTAGCACTCTTTGTTAAGATGCATATTTATTGCTGCTAAAAGGTATCTTTGTTGTAGTGTATGTCATAAGGGGCCGAAGTGTTTGCCGATATGTGGATGAAAACATAAAACATGTGTCTATTGAGATGAATATGTTGACATACTAGGAGAGATAAGATAAAACAGGAATATTTGGGATAAGGTGAGAGTGACTTTCGTGGTAGATAAGATGAGAAAAGTGAGACTGAGATGGTTCATGCATGTGAAGAGAGGAGATGCACATATACCCCAATAAGAAGGTGTCGGTTTGAGCCATGGGGTGAGATAAAAATTGACCGAAAAAGTATTTCGGAAAGGTGATTATACATATTGCACACTTACAACTTATCGAGTGGATGATTCTGGATAGGAGGGTAAGGAGGACAAGATTTAGGATAGAAAGTTAGTAAATATTTGAGTATTGTCTAATTTAGAATTAGATTTATATTGAGCGAGTGATTTATATTATCCTAGATCTGAAAACATTGAAGAGAGAGTGTACTAGTTGTCTCTGTCAACTCTTGTATTTTTAAAAGTAATAAATAATAATGTTGCGTTCAAAGCTGCAGTGCTGGCTGACACCACCCACCCACCCACTAGTGTCATTGTCCTCTGAACCATTAGATAACACACTACACAAATTATTATTAAGATAAACAAGGATATTCAAATGTCTCTCTCAGTTTCATGATTTCCTAATTCTATGGGAAATAACAAAAAAGGATCATCTTCTTCTTGGTTGAGTGCTGTTAAGAGAGCTTTTAGATCAAAGAAACAAATTAATGAAGAAGAAAAGGCACTAGCTAATTATAATTGAAGTACCTTTTTTCAGTTTAATTAGACGATCCATCTTTTTACTAACTAATCCATCCATCTTCTTGTGTGTTTTCAGAAGAAGGAAAATCAAAGGTGGCTTTTCAGGAAGCAGCAACATACTACTAATCATGCCATTGCTGTAGCTGTGCCTCCACTGCCTCTGCATCAGGCTGCCACTATTATTCAAACAGCTTTCAGGGGATATTTGGTGAGTCATATTATTAAATAAATTTTGGGTTCATATATACAATTCACGCATTTGTGGAGTTGATTGAATTCTTTTGAGCCAAGCCAAGTGTGTATGACAAACAAACTCTGCGCTCTCCAGACTCCACTAATTCCTAATTTGTTGTGAATTTTCAAGGCAAGAAGGGCTCTAAAAGCACTAAAAGGTCTAGTGAAATTGCAAGCTTTAGTGAGAGGTCACAATGTTAGGAAACAAGCCAAGATGACTCTCAAATGCATGCAAGCTCTTGTTAGAGTTCAAGCGCGGGTATTGGACCAGCGATTTAGGCAATCGGAGCAAGGAAGTAGAAAATCAACATTTAGCGACACCAGTAGCTACCACTATCTTCAACATATGGTAACTTCATTTCTCATTTATTTACTTTCCTATATATCCAGGCAACATAGTGTAGTAGGAGTTCATTATTTTAAAGTAATTTTGGTTTTGGAAAGGAAAATGTCCTTTTCATTGGTTTTAGATTCAAAACAAAAAATAATTAGTTTCAAAATCCGCCTTTGGTGGTTTTTGGAGTTGATTTCGGAGATTTAATTGTAAAATTTAAGGACCCTGCATTGCTTCTGGAGTTGTTTTAATTAGCACCAAATAGGCATTGTGATAGGTGTGCTTAGTTGTATAGTCAAATCTCGTTTGTTTGAATATATTTTGGTTGTTATAGCAAAATGCATATTAGTAACATTAAAATCCATTTCAAAGAGAACTTGGACGTTATAGTGAAATGTTGTTATAGAGAGGTCGTCCAAACGAGCATTGATTAGCTAGTATATTTTTCGTTTGAATTTGTATATACCAGTCAAGAGACGGAAGCACTATTCCTGATGATTGGGATGAAAGGCCTCATACTATTGAAGAGGTAAAAGCAATGCTGCAAAAGAGAAAAGAAGCTGCTTTGAAATGCCAAAGGACTGCCTTTTCTCAACAGGTTTCTCTATTTCCATCTTGTGATGACTTTGTTGGTGTAAGTTAGTTTTGCCAACCGTTTCTTTTCTTATGCATGGCATGACATGACAGACGAGGAGAAGTGGCAAAAATTCCTCGATAGGAAGTGATGCGGATTTTGGAGAAAAACATCGAAGGATGGAGCAGTACTGGACGGCTGCAAAATCATGGGACAGTAGTAGAGGCAGAGCATCAACTGATCCTGTTAAAACTGTCGAAATGGATACCTCACAACCTTTACCTCCTAATTTAAGAAGATTAGACGAACGACAACATCAACACCAACACCAACACCAACACCAACACCAACACCAACGACCAAGTTCACCCCTTCATACATCTTTTCAATTCCCCGTTACACCTTCTCCATCCAAATCAAGACCTATTCAAGTCCGCTCTGCTAGTCCTCGATGTCCAAGAGACGAAAAAGCTCAAACTCCAAGCCTGAGGTCTAATAATAACTACTCCTCACACCAACGTAATAGACTAACTTCTAGTACTGCAGCAATTCCTAACTACATGGCTGCTACCGAGTCTGCTTTGTCAAGAATTCGTTCACAAAGTGCCCCACGACAGAGACCATCGACTCCAGAAAGGGATCGAGCTGGATCAGCTAAGAAACGACTTTCTTTCCCTGTCCCTTTCCGTTATGGCAATGTCCCATCAGGCTATGGACATAGTCTTAGGAGTCCAAGCTTTAAGAGCCTTAGTGGAGTACATTTCAGATATGAACAACAGTCTAACTATTCTTCGTGTTACACAGAGAGTCTTGGTGGCGAGATTTCTCCATCTTCAACTAGCGATTTGCGAAGGTATTTTAGATGACCAAACGGCAAAAATAAGTGATCAATAATGTACATGCTAATGCATATTGTAACTGTACTGCCTTTTTCTTGTTTGTTATTTTTTTTAGCTTTGTTTGGAGTGTTATTTTTTAAATCCCTTGCTCCTTGAGATTTCCTACCTAACTTGTAATGTATTTGAACCCATTGATGTGTTAGTCAAACATATTGTAACTAGTTCTTCAAGCATTATTTAGTGAAATAACACTTGCGGATTTTAATAGCTCAGTTGGTTAACAATTTGAATTTTCACCAATAATAATGATTGACTGTCTGAATTTTCATGTTATGTTAGATTCAGTTTCTCCTTAGGGGTCGTTTGGTAGAGTGTATAAAAATAATGCTCAATAGAGTGTATTAATAATACTTGCATTAGTAATGCTTGTATTAGTTATACTTGCATTAGTTATGCATAGATTAGTTCTTATGCATTGTTTGGTTTGGTGTGTTAAAATAGTATGCATTGTATAAAAATATTTATTTACAAAAGTATCCTTCACAATTATGGTGCAAAGATGTAAACGTGCTTTTGAGGAGTCATTGAGTCTGTAACCATAATAATGTATGTATTAAATCCTTCGCATTGCTACTACCTAGAAATCCATGGTATTAGTAATACACTCTTCAATACACAATAGAGTGTATAACTAATGCAAGCATTAATTAGACATAGCATGAAAAAATGCATCAAACAAGGGACTACTAATACATATAGCATGAAAAAATGCATCAAACAAGGGACTACCTAGCCTTTCCATCTCGTTTATTTTGTGAGAATTTAAACAATATACATCGATAGTAATATTGTTTTTAAAACTATCAGCAAGTGAAAATGGTCATATTTTGTATGGATCGATATGGTGAATGTGTCAGGTAATTTTGGATAGTGACAAGAAAAGAATAGTTGGTTTTACGTGATAACTTATTTTATCGCTATAGTATAAATTATTAAGATTAGATTAGTTAATTAAATGCCATTTGTTAGTCATCACTCAATTGGTTAGTTCATTGCCACCTGTAAGGTAGTTACTAGTTAGATACTTTGTTTTCTGCTTGTTTAAATAAAAAATACACACACTTGTAACAAAATCCATTGAATGATTTGCCCCCAAATAGATCTCGAAAAAATACCCATGATAATTTTTTTTTTACATCAAACGGATATCCGAGGCAAAAGTTACGATCGTTTGAAGTTTCACCAAATTAGAGATTGAAACTTGAAAAAGTAGTTGAAAATTGGTGAAACTTCAAACGGTCATAACTTTGGCCTCAGATGTCCTTTTCAGGCCTTTTTTTTTTAATTTGGGTATTTTTTTATATCTATGCGACCATCAAGCCGATTTTTTGAAAAACATCTTTTAACCCATTCAATTTTGAATTTCCCCCAATTTTGAAGAAAATTGTAATTCTTTATTGCTAAGAATCTGATAAAAGAAAATTGATTTTTGAGTTCGAAATACTTTGATAATGCATATATGAATGTCAATTTTAATGCTAGATAATCAATTTTCTGATAAATAACTTTTATCCTGAATATTTTAAATTTCCCCCAATTTTGCATAAGGATTTTTGTTCCTTAAATAGGTATGTGAAAAAGATTTGATTAAACAAAATGGATTTGGAGTTGGAAATACTATTTTAATACATAAGTGAAGTCCATTTTAATACCAGGCGTCGGCCAAGGCCTGTGCCCATCCGCTAGGCGACATAGGCTCGACACTGTTGGTCTTCAACGAGGAATTCCTAGTAAGTGCGAGTCATCAGCTCGCGTTAACTACGTCCTTGCCCTTTGTACACACCGCCCGTCGCTCCTTTCGATTGAATGATTCAGTGAAATGTTTGGATTGCGGCGACGTGGGCAGTTCGCTGCCCGCGATGTCGCGAGAAGTCCATTGAGTCTTATCATTTAGAGGAAGGAGAAGTCGTAACAAGGTTTCTGTAGGTGAACCTTCGAAAAGATCATTGTCAAAACCTGCAAAGAAGAACGACCTGCGAACACATTTTAAACACTTGGGGGAGATGCGCGCTCGTCGTGCACCTCCCTCCCATCCCCGGCGTGAGCGCCCGCACGCTTGTCGAGCGACCAATGAACTCGGTGTGGAAAGCGCCAAGGAATACAAAAATTGACAGCCCTCCCTTTGTGCCCCGTTCGCAGAGTGTGCGGGGGGAAGTGTGCTGCTATTTAAACACAAATAACTCTCGACAATGGATATCTCGGCTCTCGCATCGATGAAAAACGTAGCAAAATGCGATGCTTGGTGTGAATTGCATAATCCCGTGAACCATCAAGTCTTTGACCGCAAGTTGCACCCCAAGACATTAGGTCGAGGGCATGTCTGCCTGAGCGTCATACATCGCGTCGCCCCTAGCACACCGCAAGGCGTCACGCGGGGCAGAAGCTGGCTCTCGTGCAGCCCGAGCGCGTGGCTGGCCTAAATGTGAGTCCACGTCAATGGACGTCACAATAAGTGGTGGTTGAAACTCAACCCTCTCTTGTTGTCACAGCTACAGCCCGTCGTGCGTCCAGACTCCCAGACCCTTATTGCACCAACTAAGAATGGCACTCCGACCGCGACCCCAGGTTAGGAGAGATTACCCGTTAAGTTTAAGTATATCAATAGGCGGAGGAAAACAAACTTATAAGGATTCCTTTAGTAATGGCGAGCGAACCGGGAACAACCCAATCTTATAATCGGGCAGCTCTGTCGTCCAAATTGTAGTATGGAGAAGCGTCCTCAGCGGCGGACCGGGTCCAAGTCCCATGGAAGGGAGCACTAAAGAGGGTGAGAGCCCCGTTGTGTTCGGACCCTATCGCACCACGAGGCGCTGTCTACGAGTCAGATTGTTTGGGAATGTAGCCCAAATCAGGAGGTGAATTCCGTCCAAGGCTAAATACGGGCAAGAGACCGATAGCGAACAAGTACTGCGAGGAAAAGATGAAAAGGACTCTGAAAAGAGAGTCAAAGAGTGCTTGAAATTATCGGGAGGGAAGAAGATGGGGGCCGACGATGTGCCCCGATTAGATGTGGAACGATGACGAGCCGATCCGCCGATCGGCCATTGGCAGACAACATCAGCGAAGGCCTACACGCATAGAACGTGGCCTGTGCGCATCAGCCAGCCGACGTCGGCCAACGACAGGCATCATTAGCCAAGGACTGCATGTATCAGACGTGGTCTATGCACATCGGCTAGGTGACATTGATCGTGGCCTGCCCGCATCGACCAGGCGTCATAGGCCATTGCATACGCGCATCGGTCAGGCGACATAGGCCGTGGCATACACACATCGGCCAGTCGACATAGGCCGTGACATGAGCATCGGTCGTGGCCTGCGCGCATCAGCTAGGCGACATAGGTCATGGCATGCACATCGATCAAGCGACATAGGCCGTGGCCTGTGTACATTAGTCAGCCCACGTAAGATGTGGCCTGCCCGCATCATCTGTGGCCTGCTCCATCGGTTAATCGACGTCGGACCTGGCTTGCCCGCATCATTCGTTTCCTACACACAACGGTCAGCCGACGTCGGACGTGGCCTGCCAGCATCGTCTGTGGACTGCACACATCAATCAGCCGCCGTCGGACGTGGCCTGCCAGCATCGTCCGTGGCCTGCACACATCGGTCAGCCGATGTCGGACGGGCCTGGCCGCATCATCCGTGGCCTGCACGCATCGATTAACCGACGTAGGACGTGGCCTGTGCGTATCGGCTAGGTGACATTGACTGTGGCTTGCGCGCATCGGCCATGGCTTGCACGCATCGTCCTGGCGATATAGGCCATGGCATGCACACATCGTCAAGTTGACATAGTCCGTGGCATGCGCGCATCAGCAAAACGACATAGGTTGTGGCATGCACGCATCAGTCAGGCGACATAGGCCGTGGACTGCCCACATCGGCTGTGGCCTTTGCACATCGGTCAGCCGACGTCAGATGTGGCCGGCCCGCATCGTCCTTGGCTTGCTAACATCAGTTAGCTGACGTAAGACGTGGCCTGCCCACATCATCAGTGGCCTGCACACAATGGTTAGGTGACTTTGGACGTGGCCTGCGAGCATCGTCCGTGGCCTACACACATCGGTCAATCGACGTCGGACGTGGCCTGGCCGCGTCGTCGTGGCCGGCACGCATCGTTCAGTCGACGTAGGACGTCGCCTGCCGGCATAGTATATGGCTTGCACTCGTTAGACGAGCGCGTTGCATGCGGTGATATTGGTCGAGGTCTACTGGACAACATGCGGATGCCCATGCCGTACAAAAATCTAAAGAGTGTGAAACACCCTTCATGCATAACAACATATCATCTATTCTCAACGTTTCTGCCGCACATGGTTCATTCGTACCAATTTTCATTACTTTTATGGTTCGTACGATATTGAAATATCTTTTATTTGTACAAATATGTACTCTATCATTAGTTTCACATATTAAGAAGTGTTTTCGAGCATTTTCATTTTTTTGACTTTTATTCATTTTATAATTTAATTTTACGGTTTATTATGTTTTACATCACATTTTAAAAATTAAAATTTACTCAATTGTTACATTTAAGGTTACTATATTTATTGGTAAATTTTGGATGTTAATTTTAAAAATTTTGGCAAAAATGTGTCATGACCGAAAGCACCCCTTAGTCGTAACACAACGTAGTTGACCCCGAAGGGGTCTTATACGATCCCTTAGCATAATCATCATTGCATAAAGACATTGAATAATGTGGAATTTGAAGATTTTCACAGTCAATGCCAAACTCTTTCACAATAGAAAATGGAGTGTCTAGACGTCGTCTCATTAACCATCTAAGTACAACATAGAAGTCTCAAATAGGGACCTTAGCCCTTTACAATAAAGAGTCTCATAATAGGAAGTACATAGAAGTCTATTAGTCTATTACAATAGAAAGAAACATAAGTGGCATCATGTTGTCCTCGGAACTTGAGGACATATCAAAGTCCTGGAGAATGCAATCCAAGCCTTCCCTTCTTTACAATGAGAACCTACTAGCCGGAACCTACACTTAGTAGAAAAATGGAAGAAGTATGGTTTAGCACAATCAATTGTACTAAGTATGGAAGCCATGCAATTAAAACTATTTAAAACATGCAATAAAAGGGACTTTTGTTGAATACATGTTATTTCAAGTTAAAAGCCACAATGCACATTCAAGTAATACAGAATCAATCCATACCATAAGATAACATCATACTTAACCAAAGTTCATATCTTACATGTTTGAGTTCAATTAACATCATACCGTAAAGACACCACCCCAGACCCCCTTTCAAGTTCACTTGTGCAATGTACATATGAAGTCGCATACCCCCACATATACTAAGTAAAACCATCAAGAAGACCTAAGTGTAGTCACATACTTAATCAACATAATAATAGGTGAAACCAACCTTAACATCATTCATAAGTTTCCATACATAAAGGACTCACACAAGAACTCCTCGAAGAATCCACTTGTGAAATGTCTAGGTAAAGTCCCATACCCTTACCTATTCCAGGTAGTACCCCTCAAGAAGCCCTAGCTAGAGTTCATATTCATATTCATAAGTCATATTCATTTCTTAGTTAATATTCCTTAAACATAGGGAGATTATCAATAGCCGACATAGACCATGTGAGCTACATGGAATCCGGTGTTCTATTCCCACACCGAAAAGAAAGTGTCCTACTTGCCTAAGGTAGGATATGCATAATAGCTTCTAAGTGGATCCACTAGCTAAAACCTATGTGGGCACATAGTTAAGGGATATGGAGATTGCTACTAGAAACCTTGCACTACTAGCGTGCGGGTTCCCATTTCATGAGACACCGTAATGTGAACCCAACTACTAACATGAAAGAACCCATCTCATATTCATATCCGCTCGGTGCTAAGCACAATTCCCTTTAAGTAACATTAAGTCTTTACTAAAGTTTATTGTTCATAGGAGAGTGCACTTAGGCATTCATCCCAAATTACATCATATTAGCTCAAGGACTCATTAGGTGAGAAAAGCCTTTCATCCTAAGAATAAAGAACAAGTGAGAATGTTCCCTCATATCATAGTCATATAGTGTTTATGAGAATTACCTTTCATTCAACATACCAACACTATCATAATTACAACATAACATACATGTTCATATCATAACATAACATACATGTTCATATCGTAGCATAACATGCTTGACCATATTTAGGGTTGTAGGGGGAGAGGAAATCATGATTCAACTCCACAATACATAAATCAAGTAAGCACCTCCACCATAAGTGGATCAACACTTCAATATAAGAACCTTCACCAATCGAAAGCCCTCATCATAGCCTTCAAGGCTTTTCTTCAAGATTCAACCCTAATTTCTTGACATTCATACATCATATAGGATATCATCATGATACAATAATGAATTACATGTAAACATACGAGATTCTCATCCTTCATTCATCAATCAAAGCATACTAGGGTTTAGATTTGAGAAAGAAGGGAAATCATGGGTCTTGTGGGGAATTGCTCAAAAACCATAAACATTACATGAATTCATCCACAAACCTTCATATATAATCATAAACAACCATTATAGATCAATGGAAACGATTTTAGAAAGAGACCCACAAATTTGATTGAAAACCTAGAAGTTGGGGCACTTTGAAATCCAATTTTGAGAGGGCCCCTTGGGGAAAAGATCCCAAGAGTGCAGAGCATCCATACCTTAGTTAATTCCTTGAGAATTGATGGAGAAATTTGAGATCTTGGTGCCCTAGATGAACCTTGGTCTCCTTCTTCAATGGAGTTCTTAGAGAGGGTTTTAAGAGAAGGAAGTTGTATTTGATATTTGAGTTGTGAGTTTAGTTTTAATGACATAAAGTCTTAGGGTTAGGGTCTTATAGTTGATTTAGAAAGGTAATTAATTATCTAACTGCCCCTCCTAACCCTTCATTGAATAACTAACTAACTAAAACTAAGACCCCTAAACTAAAATTAAAAGTCGAAACCTAGCAGCATCTACGGCCCTCCACCTACGGACCGTGCTGTGCAGTTCGTCGTTTGGGACTGAGGCTCCCTTTTGGGGAGCTAAGCTTCCCCAAGCTAAGTCCTTACCTACGACCTAGACCAGTCTACTGGCAGTAGTTTGGGTCTCATAGGTGCTGCTATTTTTAACAACTTTTTGGCCAAAGGTTGGGTCCTTCTCAAGGACCCCTAGGGTGGTCCTTGGGGGGTCGTACCCAGACGTTTGGACCCTAAACATGAGGTTCTACTTCTATAAACCATTTTTACAAGATTTAGTCCTCATACATCACTCCGAAACCTTACTACAAGACCTAAGACCACACTAGTTCAAGTTACTAGTTTTCG